GTTTGCGTCGTCGGTGAGAATGAACACGCCGTTACTCACATCAATTTCTTGTTTGCCTCCGTTCCGTTGATCAAATCAAGCCAGTTCAGTGGATGTTGCGGTGTCCCCCTGTCAAATTAAAACTGGCTCCGTTGAGCAGGCGCGTGCTGTCCTGCCAAAACCCGCGTCACTCGTCGTTTGGTTTGTTTGGCCTGGGAGGAAGTACTTCGACATTTGTTGAGGTCGGATTCAGGATGCGCTATATCATATATCTACTTGAGGGAGTTTGTTGCTCCACATTCGTGGAACTTAGCTCTTTTTTTTGGGACTGCGGGATACTTCAACATATTTCGACTTTTGATTCCAGATTGCAGATGCCAATGATGTTAGTAGTTAGCCGCTGGGCGGAATTGCGAGCTTGTGTAGCGAATCTCTATCCTACCATGATTGGCGGAACTCATTGGCTTCCGTCAACTGCAAAATTCATGTTAGCTGTGGGGCCTCTACGACTCCAAAGGTCAAGAGCGTACGCCATGCTCCAAAAATGGGCCACCTGTACTCAGAAACACTGGTTCTGAGGCAGCATTGTGTGAAAGGAATGGAGCACGCAAACCAGCTGCATGTTTGCAAAGCTGTGCTGCGCCAACCCAAATAATACTCCGTTGAGAGTTTCACAAGAACTCATGCACGCAGCAATTGGCATGGGGCCTGCGAACAAGATGAGCTTGCTGCTTGGCAAAATCAGACTCACACATACCCTGAAAACTTGAACAGGGCTCCTTAAAAGATACATTTTGCCCATTTGAAACATGGCTTTTTCCACCAGAACAAAAGGGAAACCACCATTTACAAGGCAATGTAAGGATCCCTGCTTGAAGGGATGCCCTTGCCGACCTTGTTGCCAGGCGAGCCATGTGGCCGTACTTTGGCGCTGAGCATCTGGTACAGCACCTGCTGGCCCGCATGCTGCGCATTCACCAGGCGGGCCTGGCGAAGAATGTGGTGTCGTTTCGTGCGAATGCTTGTTGGTTGCGACATGGCCATGGGTCAGAACCCCGTACCCCCAGTGAACATCCCAATCCCCACTAAAATAGACTAAAATGAGTGGTGCACCTATCCCAAAATGTGATCCCATTGGTTTTGAACCATGGTCACATGTTCTGTGACGTGCTGCGCCGCTGTGGACCAAGCTGCCTATAGCGAGCTCACCTAGGCTCATGATAAAGGCTCTTTGCTTGGGGATCCCTCTCAGGTTTTGAAATATCATTTTGTTTGCAGACTTGAATCATTTGGTGAGGCAAAACATGGCGGGGCGTCATTTGTTGCGAGCTTGTCGTGGCGTGGTCGCCCGTTCGGAGCGGAGCGCCGGAAATGTCGTTCCACACCCGGTTTTCATAACCCTAACAGAACCCTTGTAAGGAGGTTCAACAAGCCCTTCCTGAGTTGGGCGGCCTTGCGTTGTTTCCCTCATTCTTTTTGTTTCAGCCTCGCGGTTCTCGATGGTCTGTGGTCTGAGACAACACCCCAAATCCGCAAGAGTGAAACACGTTGGCCATGCGTGGCAGATGCATTGAAAGGGCGCCATGCTGGCTGGTTTTTGCGCGCCACCTTGGGTTGACACACGATCCATTGCCCATGCAGTTGAGGACTTGAGCGCGTGCGGGTTTATCATGGCAGCTTGTCCGTGGCCCTTTTGAACATACTTTTCTCGAGCACCCAACTTCTTGCCGAACGCTGGCCAAATTTGACATGGTCTTTACCAGAGTTGCTTTGAACTACTGTTCGCTCGCAGGAAAGCAATGATTCAATGCAGAGCTTGCTGCCATTGCACCACCGGCCATTGGAGGAGGCAGATGGGCAGCCCCCCCCCCCCCCAAGCTTCCTTGCAGTCTGCGCAATGCCAGGCTTTTCGTAGGGCCATTTGTCGGCTATTCTCGCATAGCAATTCTTTGCAAGACCCGAGTAACAAAGTGTACTTCACTTTCTGTTGGCAAGTTTTTGTGTTCTTTGCCTTTTGATTCTGTTCATTTTTAGTAGGGGGCTGCAAAAAACAACGTTTTGCTACCATACCAAGGGTTGCGAAGTCTACCGTCAGCGCAAAGCCCCACGTTAACACCCAGCCCCCCCCCCTCGGAAAACCCAAGTAGCAAAATCCACCGCCCGCCGCCAGCCCCAAAATTGGTTCGTGTGAGTTGGGCGTAGTTTCTGGCAGGTATGAAAAGTTTAAAATTCTACTGCTAGCCGCCCAAGGGACCCATGAAACAGCATACAGAGCTACCACAAACCCGACGACTCAAGTAATCAAGCTTCCCGCTGGCACAAAGATTCGTGGATGAATTATTCATAGTCCGTGGCATGGTGTTACATTGGAGCAAATTCACGTTTCGGAGCAGATCATGTATTTGATCGTGGCAAGTGGTTGTTGGCACATCCAAATCGCTTTGGCCAATGCAATGCTCGCAGGGTATCGTTTCACATGAAGAGATCCATTGCCACATCCCTGCGAGGAGATTCTGTCAGAGCTCAAGGGATAGCAATGTGCGGGAGAGCGAGCCGCTTGTCGCTGAGTGCCTTGGAGATCGCTGAGTGCCTTGGGGATGCTTAACTCTACGCCAGCGTCGGATCGCACACTCGAGGCCACTCACGGGATTAGTTCTTGATGCCCGTCAGGGTGATGCCTGCTTGGTTGTCTCCATGCCCCCTTTCGCAGTCTCTCCGAGGGAACCTCTTTGTGAGCCGCTTGTCGCTGAGTGCCTTGGAGATGCTTAACTCTACGACAGCGTCGGATCGCACACTCGAGGCCACTCACGGGATTAGTTCTTGATGCCGCCTGCTTGGTTGTCTTCGTACCCCCTTTCGCAGTTTCTCCGAGGGAACCTCTTTGTGAGCCGCTTATCGCTGAGTGCTTTGGAGGTGCCCAAATTCCATGTCTCGTAGCTTGCTTGACTCTACGACAGCTCTCAGGGTTTTTGCTTGGGAAATGACCCAGAATGGTTCGAAATGTGCCGAAATGGGGTCAATACCCAGTGGGTGTATTCCCAGGGTGTAATGCAATCACCCTTAGAACAAACAGTGTCGGATCGCACACTCGAGGCCACTCACGGGATTAGTCCTTGATACCCGTCAGGGTGATGCCGCCTGCTTGGTTGTCTCCATACCCCCTTTCGCAGTCTCTCTGAGGGAACCTCTTTGTGGGCCGCCATTATAATATTTATCGCCGTTTGCTAGAAAGAACGCTCTTTCGCGGAAAATGCGCTCGCTTGATTCCAGCGGGTGACAGGCAGTAAATTACGCCGTTTTGCCGGCACATTACGCCGTTATGCCGGCACATTACGCCGTTTTGCCGGCAAATTACGCCGTTTCAGGTTATTGGCTTACGCCAACGTGTGCAAACATTCACAAATGCCCGCAGGCGAAAACAATCGCCGCTTGGTCAAGAAACATAGTTTTGCCAAGACAGCAATAATTTCGCACAGAATGAAAAAGCACAAGAACCTATGTGCGCCAAATCCCGAACTTTGAACCCTTGGCTTGGCACTTGGTGCAGGCGTGCCACGGGCGGCCCCGTCCCAATGTGCCCAATAAAACCCAGTGCCCAGGGCCGATTGGCCCAGAAGCTCCTTGCTGCAAATTGCGAGTTAGCGCTCTTCACGCTTGTTGGCTGTAGCTTGTTGCAGTTTTCAGGATTTCATCCAAAACTGGTACTGTGCACTTGGCACGGCTTGTCCAAACAGCCGCCAAGTGGTGGCATTCTGCACAGATGTAGCACACCATCGCCCATCCGCTTGGCTGCGAGGTCAGCTCGGCTCGGCGACGCGGCGACGCGGCGAAGACGCGTTGCCATTTCAAGAAGGAATCACGGGGCAGTAGGTTAAGACCTGGAGCCATGCAGAATCAAATTGGTCCACTCCAAGCTTTAACTGGCTTTCCGGCCTGGGCTTCCCACATCGATGGGCAGCTCCTTCATGTCGACTGGGTCATTTGTATGCAGCTTGACGATTATGTGACTCTATGACCCAGGATTTTGTTTGGCTTAAGCATGGCTTACACGGATGTACCACTTTAAGTGCTGGAGCCCCGACTCAGTATCCAAGCTTCTCATGGCCAGTTGGCGCTGCGCCGGCTGTTTCTGAAGGGTGGCCGACACGACAACCAACAGTATCTTTCATGCTGCTTGCAGCAAAAGTTCTCCCCAAACTCTGGGGATAGGGAACCCCCGAAACACGGCCGGCGAAGCCAGCGCTGGCCGCGTTTCAGGGGTCCCCTGCTAAGAACACCCCAAAGCTGTCACTTGCCACTGCACTTCAAGGTGACTCCAGGAACTCATGTTGACATGTGTTGCACCATCTGCTAGTTCACGCATTAGTTAGCGCTTGGTCAGCATGGAAATTGTTTTACGTTCCTGGCGAGGGCAGGCTGGAGCGACAAAAGGGCTCTGAAATGCGGCATGGAACATCATTGTGTTGGCTTTGTTTAAAGTGGTATCCTTGCACCCTGAATCAAAGCATGGCTTGCAAAGAGCAAGGTCTTAGGCACTTTTGGCATGGGAACTCAAAAACATGATGCGGAGTCCTGTGCCTGTCGATGGAGAGTGCGATCCTCTTGCGGGCTCTAGGATGGAGCTAGCTTAGCGCTAGAAGAGTTCGGCACGCATGAAGAAGCGGAAGAAACGAGGAGTCAAGTTGAGACAGGGCCTGATGTATGGCTTGCGCGACAGGAGAGATGCGACTGAAAAAGGTCCATTGAACTCTGGGAGAGACATTGGGACCTGCGACTCTGCACTTTTCGGGCTGGCTTGCGTCACAAGCTGGCAGCCATCCGCCAGAATTTCTATGACGGACGGCTAAACACATCCATGTCGATTGTTCATTTCACCCACGTCCATGAGATACGCATAGCAGAGAGATGACCCGGTCTTGAGGAGCCTTTCGTAAAAAGGCCCTGACACTCGCACCTCTTCAGCTGTGAGCGACGCCATTTCCGCGCTTTCAGCGGGTGACATGGGTTTTGTTTGCTTACTCACCTTCGAGGTGCTCTTTTTGGGCGCCCTGAAGCCCAAAGAGGCAAAGAGCAAACCCATCCGGGCCCGCTTAGCTCAGGCCGAAATTTTGGCGGGGGGGACTCAGAGAGACCTGCGCTTGAGGTTCGCACATGCGCCTATCGCCGTGCTTACGTGCTTCCTTCTCAAGTCGCCAGGCCTCATTCAAGGTAAGGTGCGGGCAAAGTTTGGCGAAATATGGAAGGCTGAAGAAAAGACGCTTCCGGAAGCCGGCTTGGTGCTTTGACAGATGGCTCTGTGATTTTACTATCAAAGTCACTCCCTCAATATTTGTAGGTTAAAGAGAAATCGCCCCAGTTTCTTATTGAAAGATGAGCCCAGCACAGTCCCAGCAATCCCATTCGCAGTCTGTAGCCAGATGCGTGGCCGCCAATTGCCGCTGAGTTCTGCACGGGAGCCTCTGGACATGGACAGAAGCACGCTCCTTCAGAGATTGATTTGCTTAGGAGATGCCAATGTGGAGATTGTGGAGCAAAGCAATCACTATTGCAGCTATTCTTCTATGGCAGCATACCAGCTGGTGTCCTCATGCAAGCGTCGCCGGTGGATTTTTGACCCATGCCAACAGTCTTGGTCCGCTGAGTTTTCGATCATGTGCTACCCAAACTTGATCTATCATTCACCCGACCGCACCAGAAGCGCTTCGTGGGCGTGCGCCCGGAGCTAATTCGCGGGAGCAGGAAAGCAAGTGCTGCAGTCAAGATCTGTTATTTTACAAGCCGCTTTGGTCCACTGGTAGCAGAAAGCGCAGCTTGCGACACATGTGATTGCGCTTTCTCCGGCCAGACTTTCGCATTCGGAGGACAAGGTTGGGGGCTGTGGTTTGGCAAAAATATTGCTGTCACCAAGCGGATTTCTGATTAAAAGCCCCCAAAACCGAGCCACATATATGCTCAATGTGGTCGCCCCCCACCTCAAAGGGGCGAACGTGCTCAGCTCTTCACAAGCCCCACCGACTGGCTAAAAGTCTGACACACGTCCATGAACTCGTTGTGTTTGGCCTTGTTTCTGTCACACATACTCTTCCATTCGATGTTCAACGACAATGCGCCAAATGTCGGAAGGACTGCGACAAAAAGCATCCAACTTAGATACGCCGTTCATTCCTTGCTCGCTGGGGGCCCCATGGTCAAACTCCCAGCGGCGACTTTGCGCGTGCAAACCCAGCACAGTTTCCGCCTGCTGAGACACCTTCCAAGTTCCAAGCTGGTAGGCGACATGCGCAATGCGCAGGCGGCAGGCGGGTCTTGTGCTTGCTTTACCACTTTTTCCTGGTTCCTCACGCCAAGCCAACCCGAGGCAGTTGGGGCCACGGACATATCCTGGTAGCACGCCTGGATTGTTGGCGAATGGCGATGGGGGGAATTTGGGAACCTTGCTGCCCGTAAGGGTGAACCCTTCCGTGGACGTTTCTTTGCAGCGCAGTTACGGCCTGGCGTGCTGCCAGCGCTTGCTCCCTGTCAGATCTTGTCAGTGTGCTTGCTCTCAACGCTTTGGCTGAGCCCAATGTCTCGGCCGCAAGCTGAAAGCTCGACACTAGTAGGGAGGGAATGCTTTGGGGCATGTGACTCAATGAACCTAAGAAGTGGCTGCCCGAAGGTTTTGCAGTTGGTGGCGATGTGCTGTTGCAATTGGCCCTGCCTAGTTTCTTGGGCTCGGCAGGCTCAAAAGCTTTGGGCTTGCGTGCTATCCTGTACGCCTTGTGCTTGGACGCCACGCAGGGCCAGCAAGGTCTGGTGCGGGGTCCGTATTTGCTCACCACTCATTGCACACTAATTTGTGCAAGTTGCCGTGGCCGAACCATATGCAAGGAGCTTGCGTTCGCAGCCATTCATCGCCAACATGCAGCTCAGAGGATCAGTTCGCTAACGACTTGTTGGTCCAAACACGCTCATCGGGTGAGTCACACGACCCTCGGCGGGAAATAAAGTGTAGCGTAGCGCACAACCATGACCAGGCGCGTTTGCCATGCGTTTGTACTGCCACTGCCCTGTTCATCATTGAAAGCGATGGCCGTGCGTGAGTGCGTGTCAGATTGCGTCATGGGGCCAAGCTTGGGTCCAGTTGAAAGCATTCCAAGGTAAGCTGGCAAGCTTGCCACGCTCGGAGTGCGTGGTGTGAACAGAAAAAGATGAGTGCTGTCCAATGTCATCCTTTTCATGCAGTTGCTCCGGAGCTCTGCTCCCAATTGCCTTTTCCTTTGCCAGGCATGGGCTTGCCAGCTCTCTCTGACACGTGTTGGCTGAGCTGACGCACGACCGACCAGTTGCACTGAGCAACGAGGCGGAGGGCATTGTGAACTGAGCTCCCTCCACCTGCATACGGCTATAGTGGAGCACTTGATCCTGAGGGTTAGACGGCGCACGTTGCGATCCAAAGTGTTTGCTAAACTCTTGATGCCACGTGCAGGCGGAGAAGACCAGCGCAGGCACGGGGTGGAGACATTGGCAGTGCGCAGCTAGACTCTTCTGCTTAGAGCCAGATTGCGCTTTGTCGAGGGCGGACGTCTCGTCCCACAGGATGCGGGCAGCTAGTGAGAAACCTGCCAACTCTTCTGACCCGTGATTTCCATCTTACGAACATTGCTGATGCTAACGCAGCACCTTGCTTCAAGTAGCGCGTGAAGTCAGTGGCTCCATGTCACCGCCAAGGGGCTGCAAGAAACTGCGAGGTAGGAGTTCACACGAGGAGTGCGCACCCAGACCTGCCGACATATTTTGGCGAAGTGGATGCTTCGGTTGCCAACGTGGAACAGAGCTGTGATTGCAGCGATTCTTGCAGGATTGCGACGCTTGAGCTTGGCTTGACCTTTGTCGTCTCACGCAGGTAACAAACCGGCAGAGTGTTGGATGTTCCCATTTCTGCAGTCTCGGGCCGAGGCTGCCTGGCCGCGCGCAGGTCTTTTGTCTCAGGCGCAAACAGCAGTTTAGATCAGCACCGGCGCATATTGCCGTTCTTGTGCTTTCAGTCTGCGCATGACATTTGCAGAGGCGACCAAACAATTCCGAGCAGATCCCAGTAACAGAAATATTTGCTTGACACCTCAAGTGCTTGCACTGAGCTTCATGTTGCACTCTGCCTACTTATCTTGCAGTTTGCGCGGGCAATGCAAACGTCGTTGACGAACTGGGCAGGGATGGGCTTTCATGAGAGTGTGCCTTCCAGACGTGGACGTGTCGGCTCAGTGTGAAGCTATGCTGGCCTTGGCTGGTGCTTGGGTCGCACCGCTCGGCAGCTCGCTAAATGCCACCCAGCTTTGGCGCTCGCGCACAAAACGTCCGGTGCTTGACCGGCTTTTGTTGGATTTGGTAAGTGTCAAAGAGCTTGTGCGGACGACCAGCTGCGGCCGCCTGCCTTTCTTCCAAGCTGAGAGCGTTTGAAAAGGGCATGGATACTTTAAAATGCTTCGAGTCTCGCCCACATTTTGATGCACTTTTGGGCGTATCCAAACAAACCCAATCTCTTTGCAGAAAGTACGTGGGAGTGTGACGGAGGATTTTCATGCGAAGCAACACAACGAGAGCCTTCAAAGAGACAAAAATGCGATTTAGACCCACGAGCCCCAAAATGGCTTGTAGCACATCATGGAAGACAAACTTTTGTGTCACGCCAGCCAACACGCCACCCTTCACAGCAGCTTGCGCGCACAGACAGCCGCTTCGGACGCATCTTTGCCCGGACGCTTGCGCTTGGAGTTCTTCTTCTCCAGCCGTACAGGCGGATCGTCGCGGATCGTAGCGCGGCGGTGCACGGCGTAAGCTCAGGGAAGGCCAATGGTGCGTCAGCAAGTCAATGTCGCGCGCCTTCGAAATTGCATCATATCTTTCATGCCTTGTTGTCAGTCCACTCCGCCTGAGCCGGCACAGCCCCAGCAGAAAGACACAGCGAGCAGAAGGCCAGCTCGACCTTTTCGAACGCTCGGGCATTTGGGCGGTTGCCTTTAATGGTTGAAGCTGATTGAGAGAAGAATGAAAAGCGTGCTGTTGTTGCCCACCCGCCTTGCCTTTGGGAGAGGTTCGGTTTGGCGCGTCAAGAGAACAGGCGCAGGGTCGGTGGGTGGGAGCCAGCCGACGTTTCTGGCAAAGGTTTCTTTGCGTTTCCCACCTTCATTCCCCTACGACTGGAGCACCCATTGTCACACAAATGTAAAATGTGTGTTCGAGCCATGATGTTCCGCTCGATGCTTCGACAAAAGTGCGCGGTCCTCGAAAAACAGGGCGTTTGGTTCTTGGAGGGAGGCAAGCAATTGCTACGTTCTTCAAATTTGCGCTCGTTTGCTGGTGTGTGCGCTCGTTTCGCACTTCGATTGCTGCTCGCTCCTTTCAGCGACCGATCAGCTTGGAGCCCGAAGCAGTGTACGCTTGCCATATGTCGGTGACGACCCTTGGTGTTGCACCTTTGGGCTCGGAGCATAGGTAACAGGCCCGGGCCCAGGCAAACAGGTTGTATAGCAAGCCCAAGCCTGGCAGACTTTCCTTGATGTCGCGCTTCGTGCCAAGCCCAGGCGCAAATTCGCGCGCGCGCCAATGACGTTGCGGATAGGAACGATTTGCGCTTATTGCGCCACATTTCGACCGGTCACTGGAGTCCTTATCGCCAGGCCTCATGGCGTATGCAGCGGCTCCGCAGCCTACTTTGCTTGCTCTTCGCCTTTTCAGCGGATCTCTTTGCGCAGCCTCGATGAATTTTCTGTGGATGGAAGCCACTTGGCTGTGTCTTGCGTTGCCTTGCTCAACACCCCAAAGATGGCATTGATGAGCAAGAAGCAACGTATTGTTGTGTGAACCAAACGTAGTTGCGGCAGCCGACGAATGCAGGCAGAGGGCATTGCCATTATAGAGGGAATAGCGTAAAGTGCATGCATGGCCGGCGGTCTCCAGTGTCAACATAAGGACCGCGCGGGATTTCCACAGCCCAGGCTGTCGTGCGACCCATTGGGGTATGGACACTGCCTGATGGCACGCGAGCTTCGCCAAGTAAAACGTTGGTGCAGAGGTCAAAACGACGAGGGTCGCTAAGTTGTCCCTCGCGACGGTGCTGACTAGGACCTCAAGCAACGTTCAGCTGGCAAATCGCACGTGGCCAAAACTTAGCGATGGGCGCACTCCCGATTCCTTGCTTAAGTTGCAGATGGGAGGAGAAGCGCCTTACTTGTTTTTAGTTTGTTGCCCTCTTGCCACCTTGCGCCAACATTTGGCCTTGCACTTTATATTAAGCAATGGCAAATCTATGCAGCTTGGCAAGAAACAGGCTAACTGTGTGTACATATATGTATATTGGGAAGTAGTTACAGACCCTCGGCGCAGCCGCGTAGCTTTTGGTTATCGAACCTATTAATGTTTCATGCGCAGCGCTCGAGGATTGGAAGTTTATTTTACCGAGATTCAAACCCTATTTTGGGTAGTACAGTTTCTATGAGGGTGTGTAATGATTTGCGTTGACGTAGTAGATTTTGCTTGGGTTATGTGAAGTAAGCTGGCCGTTATAAATATTTAGGATACTGATAGCATACTTATATTTTCGAAAGCTGGCCTTGAGGAGGCGTAGCTGATGTTTGTACCCACGGGTGCATGTTGCGCATTTTATGATCGCGGCTGGATGCTCGATTCCCATCCTGTCTGGATTGTTTTCCCTACCTGCTACCGTTACACATTACCCAGATGCATGCTTTGCTGTTTGTGAAGACGTGCGTTTGCGTCCGGATTGATCCTGGGCTGGACTGGTTTCCCGCCTGCTGTCGTTTTAGCTTGATGCATGCTTTTCCATTTGCTTGGATTCGCTATCTCATCATTTCTGGTTTAGAAGCGTAGGGAACCTATAAAGAGGACAATTTTAAGACACTGGTGAAAAGGCAACATATGAATATTGTGTTCATCTATAAGTAGTTGTTCACATGCATGTTTAAACATATTGTATATTGAAGTGTATATGATTTATATTTGAATTTAACATATATATATATATTATATACATATTTAAACAATTACATATATATGTATGTGTATATATATACATATATACACGTGTGGATATGCAATATAGTCAAACAGTGAATAGTACGTGCACTAATGCAACACTAGTTATTGTAGTTTGTATATAGTTTGCAAGTGAAAGTATATACCATGCATGTAATCCAGATACAATACTGACAACTTTTTCTTTGGGTGCCTGGAAGTCGGTGGCACGGTTGCCATTCGGGTACTGGCTCAAAGCCCAGCTGTAGCCAGCTTTTGCATATCTGGTACCCTCCATGAACAAATATTGGTGTGTCTTGTTTTAGGGGATCCCTCGAAAAAGACATACCCAAAAAGGGAAATGCACAGACCCTTTTTGGAAGACTACTTTCCCTTGGAAGAGTACGCTCCTGTGGGCGGGCCAGCGACTTTGGGCTATTTTTGTTGGAATCAACTTCAACAAGCGTGCAACACATCTTCAAAAAGCCACCCCTACGCAAGGAATCTTCATTGTGGGGGTATGATCAAAAGTCAGTCGGAGGGTGCTAGGACCAATATCAGTCTACCTTGAACCGACCTTTTGAGGACAACATGACACTGGTAAGATCGAGTCCCTAAACATATCAAGCAAGTATGGAAGGGGGAAGTTGCGGATCATTATGTCCTTGCTTTGTGGTGAATGCTTTTATGTGGTTGGTTTGAGTTTGAACTATTTGTTTAGTCCTATTGTTTGTTGTAAATTACAGGATCGGGATGTCCTTGGTGGTTTTTGCCCAAGCATGCTTCTCTACTGGAATACGTTGTTTCATGGTTTAGGCCCCCAGTTTACCGTTTCCAACGGCGCGCCTTTGTGCCATGGCCTTGGCAAGGCGATTGCAAATCGCCGTCCGCTCCTCGCTGAGGGCTTTTTCTTTTGACTGTGTCCTGCAGTTGAAAGATGCTTGGCCTTGTGGCAACAAAGCAACCCGCAAAAAACGGGGTTGTGACTCAAAGACAAGAGGTTTCCATCTCAAAACTGTTTTTTCGCCCGCAGAACATGGTGCAATTTTCTCTACTTGGATTTAGTACCCTCATCTTCCAGGACGCCCCGAGCATCAGGTTCCATGTGAACAGGGTGGGAGGCTAAATCTCTCACCCACAACGGGCTTTTTGTGCCATCTACTTGCCCTAGTGCGGGGCCCGGTGTCGTTCGACGCTTCTTTCAAGGGCAGCCAAAGAGCTTCAATTCAGGTCGTTTAGAAGACCTTTTTTGGGGGGCAGTTCATGGCATGTTCCCAGTTCACGGATTCCCTCTTGCAAGAGCATGGCTCTATTCCCCTGAGGGTCACCTCGGGGTGTTCATCGTGCCACGGATATTCGGCTCGACTTCAGCCTACGAGTTGGATGAGTCAACCTCGTGATGTTCTTTGATCCCACTCCTGCAAATTAAACACCAAGGGACCAAGGGGTCCAATGCTCAAGTCGGACATTCCTCGAAAGATGGCAGGTGGGGTTTGGTTTCCAAATTCCTTCAACGGGCTCTCCAAGGAAGCCAACTACAGAGCTGGGGTTTCAAAACGAAGGAACACATGAGACAATATGTGTATGGGTCAAAATTAAATCACCAGGAATTGGACCGCTGGTTTTAGTCTTTGGTTCCTTTTGCCAGGGTTGCATTTTGGATTCCTATGTTTGACCCACAGCCATATACATGTTCCAGTCGAGTTGTGGGGCCTGGTTGCACTCCCCAATCCGAAAGAGGATGAAGCTTGTGACCACAGTGTAGACCCGTCGCCTGGGCTTTGAAATCGGATGCCGAAATCGGATGCAGAAACTCTCCCTTTGGCGACTGGAACGAATTCGTTTTTTGGAACCCCAACGGTTCCCGAGGTGTCTCCGTCGCATTTGGGTGATAGCAGCCATTGAAGCGCCCTATCTACAAGACCTTCACACTTGTATGGATGCCCCTGCCATATTGCAAGTAAACCAACCACAAACCATGGTTGATTTTACAGGGTTTGCATCGCTCCGGTACAATATTTGGGGCATCCGCGGCATCCCTTGTTGGGCCCTTAAGTGGGGGACAAAGATAGTTCTGAAAAGTTACCAAAAGGGGGTGGTTTGGATTTCCTTTCGTCATTTGGGGTAGTTTGTGTGACAAAGCATGTTTTCCTTCAAGCACTGTGCTCAGCTGCGTCGGCCAACGAGCGTGCGATGGAATGGAGACAAAATCCGGCCCAACTGGCTTTTGTCACACAGTTTCAGCCCCAGTGGGAGCTTGGTAACCATTAAAAACCGGCAACATGCATGAGCAAGCAGTGTTGTCTTTCTTTGACCGATTTCATTCATATGTCCACTCGCTTCCTTCGATGGCTTTGGGGATTGGAACCTTTGGTCCTACGGAGCCCAACCCAGGCTGAAGTGCAGATTCCCTTTGACATCCGATCCCAAAAGGCCGAAACCCGCGAACACCCGAAATCGAACACGCGACGTACGCGACCACGAGAATCCGAGCACGGGACATTTCCACGGGCGGTCTTCCCGTGACCCGCAAAGCCAGGGTCCTTCCTGAGTTTGATCTTGGCTCATGGAAATTCGGGCAAAGGCCTGCTTTTGGGTCCTGGAAGATCAAGGATTTCTCCACTCCCTTGGGCAAAAGGTCACTTTTGTCGATCTTCCGAAGGTTTGCAAGGGCATGTCAGGCTGAATGGGACGAGGTCAAATCAATATGAGGGTCTTTGACAAGTTCTATCAACATGCGACGTGTTGTTTCCGAACAAGTTCCAATCACCAAGCGTCTCAGGCTAAATGGATCAATGGGTCGCAATTAAATTAAACCATCAGGGGACGACAGGTTTTAGCCCATGTTTCCATTTTCCAGGGGCCATGTTGGATCCCTAGGTTTGACACACAGCCATATCACCCATTTCTCCGCCTTCACTTTGGCTGAGGCTCGGCACTTTGGAAGCTCGGCGGAGGCCGGCCGATGGGTTTTGGACCCCAGCTCGGGTTTTGCAGGAACTTTTTTATGGCTATTTTCGGATCTTTGGACTTGACCTTTTGGTTGGAACTTTTGATTTTCCCAATACCCACAAGTTCTAAACTGTTGGCAGAGGGCTCAGCAACCAAGCAAAGTTCCGCTTGAGCCTTTCCGACGGAACCCTGCGCCAGGAAGAGCCTTCTGGTTCAACTGACTTGGGCGAAACAGATGGATTGACGTCAAGCACATTATGTGGTTGAGTTGGCACCCTTTAGTTTGTTTGGAGTTGGCAACCCGAAAACACAAACCCCGTGAGCTGCGATCCAGCTGTGGGAAAAAGGTGTCCGTCCTAAGAAGTTCAGAAGCCTTTGCTACGTATGGCTATGACATTCAATAATTGGCCGCCCCAGTGAATCACTGTTTCTCAATTGGATTGGTTTGCTTGAAGCCAACTGGGAAGCTAACCCCCGAAACCTGTACACCACTTGGCCTCCTGCCAACCATTTTTTTTAAAACCTGTGCTCACCCACCTGGGGCAAAGGATGTTTACAAGTCCAGCGCGAGGTCCCCGTAAGGAACAACCGCACAAGAGCGCGTGTGCAACTCTGCAAGCAAGTGGTGCTCCAGGCCAGTGCGGTTGAAATAGTTGGACCCTCAAATGGCGGTTTTCCTTCTTGTGTCTCAGGGGTATAAACTCACAAAAAAACAGAAAACACAAGCACATCCACACGCACACACAAACGAGCAAACAAACCAACAAACACACACACACACACACACACACACGCAAACAAGCAAACAACAAGCAAGCAAACAATCAAGCACGCAAGCAAGCAAGCAAGCAAGCTAGCTAGCCAGCCAGCCAGCAAGGAAGCAAACAAACAGAAAAAGACAGAAATAACCAAATGATGAAATAAGCAAGAACAGAAGGGAAGCACACAAACAAACAGTCAAACAAACAATCAATTAATCAAACAAGCAAACACGCAAAACAAACAAGCAAGAACACAATAAAATAATCAAGCAAACAAGCAAGCAAGCAAACAACCAAACAAACAAACACACCATGCAACCAACCAACCAACCAACCAACCAACCAACCAACCAACCAACCAACCAACCAACCAACCAACCAACCAACCAACCAACCAACCAACCAGGCAGCCAACCCACCCACCCACCCACCCACCCACCCACCCACCCACCCACGCACGCACGCACGCACGCACGCATTCACACTCACACCAACTTAGATTTGTCTCCTTGGTTTCTCAAGGTCCTTTCTTTGTTGTCGGGACAGCTTTAGAGGAAACAGAATGAGACCACGGGGTGCACTAGACACATCCATGACCCTCGCCCGAAAAACGTGCCAGGCTGGCCCCATCTCGGTGCACAAGGGTCTGAAGATCCAGGCCGAAAGCCGAGTGGGGGCGGACATGGCCTATGCATGGCGTGAATTTGCACTTGTTGGCTGCTGGAACAAGCTAAAAGGCCGGTTCTGCGGCACTTGCCAACCAAGCTCAGTCATGATACGAGTAAACTATGGAGGGCCAGTTTTTCATGTTTCTTTCGATCTGTGTTTATGTTCTCCCGGCGGTTTTGGCTGTTAATTGTGGCTTTTTGTGTGTTTTGTTTCTTTGGGCGGCCTTTGTGGCTTTGGCTTTCCACATCCTCAGCCTCGCAGGAAACGCCCCGAGTGTTGCCTGCAGCGCCCCCCGCCTCCGCCAACCCCGCTGCTGCTTGAAAGGGCCGCTGTTCGGCTTTGTGATGACCTTAAAAGGCAACCCCAAATCCCAGCCCAACCCTGCTCAAACCCGAAAGATTCAAAGCCACCCCCAAACCCACCTTTCGCATCACCACAAAAACTGAACGAAACTTAAACCAAACCTATACCCGCCCTAAACCGAAGCCCTGAATAAATCTTAAAACTGCCCCAACGCACTCTAAACCAGCAACAAACCATCCCTGAGCCAACTCTAAGCCTACCCTAACCACTCTACAACAATCCTCAGCCCCATCCTGAATCCAAGCCTAACCCAATTCAAAACTCACACCAAACAAGCACTGGACCATCCCTAAACCACCCTGAACCTAACCTTCCCCACCAAAACCCACCCTCAACCAACCCTAAACCCAACATAAACAAACCATCACTAAACCATCCCTGAACCTAAAGCACAGCCAAACCAACCAAGCCTTCACCCACCTTTTCAATCCCAACAAACCAACCAACCAACCCTAAACCCGTGCAAGCTTGGCAGGGGACGGTCGGCTTTTAATTTAGGCTGTTCGTCCGCATCTCGGAGTTCTTTTTTTTGCCAATGGGCTCTGGGGGAGAGTCCCGGAAAATGCCTCCTATCTCAGAACCCCATTGAACCTGGTGGCTGCTCGCCCAAACCTTCCCAACTGAACGCATTGGCATCCAAAAGGCGTTCATTCTTTTTGGCTGGGGACTCCCAGCCCGAGAAGATGAACGCGTGTTGAATTCCAATTTTGTACCACCCTTAAAAAATGGGGTCATTACCCAAAATAATGGCCTCATGGACCACGTAATGGCTTCGGCTTTCCTTTCGGCATTTCGTCAGCCCACATGTTTCGGGGTGCCCACTTGTGTGACTTGTGTGCCATGTCTTGCTGGTGCTCAGTAGGGAAGGAGAAATGGAATGAACCCAGGCTTTGGTCCCCTTAAAGGAAACCACCAGTCGGATGCTTGCTTCTTTTTTTTGTGAGTGTCAAACCCTCTCATTCCCTGCCTATCTCAAAAAACCCCACACACACACCAGGAAGGTTGAAACCCCATTTCTCATTTTCTGCCTGTAAAACACCTGCCAGTTTCATCCACGTCATTCCCATCGGATTCCAATCCAAATGTCGCGGATGCCCGTCGCAGGGGGCGCTGTGTGTGGAGCGGCCGCCGCTCGAGGCGCTTGAGGCCAAGTTCAGCCGGAGCTGGCGGCTCTTCAAAGAGGCAGATGGACCGGAGGTGAACATCGGATCCGTTTTTGACCGGTTTTCACTTTGGGAGAACTATATATATATATATTAAATATACGTGTATATATACACATACATACGTATATATATATATATATATCATGTTTTGTTTTTGCGAAGACTTGTTTTTGTTTTTTGTTGGCACTCAACATGTGTTTATGGCCCACACTCAAAATGTGTTGAATGGAACAGCTCGGGGGGACAAGGGGACAAGCGGGAGGGATGTATGGGAGAGGTTTGGAATTCTCCGGAATCGGTCCATGAGATCAAACTTCAGGCAACCCTATAGTTGGTGGTTTGGATTGGTGGTTTGGGGATTGAACCCCTGGCTTTTGCAGAGGGTTGTATATTGGGACACCCCTCCGTTTCACCACCAAACCACCGGGCTCCAAACCACCAAATGGAGGGAAGCTGACACTTTAAACCAACCAGGAAGGGGGTGTTCTTGAAGGCTTTGTAGGCTTTGTTGGTTAGGATGATCCCGCAGGATCAAAGCCCTTGAAGAAACACCTTTTTCCCCAAACCTTTCGGTTTCCTTCCGAAAACCATAGTTCCCGCTTATTGATGTTGAATGTTCAAAGCAGGTGGGTGTGGGAAATATGAGGAACTTGCGGGGGCAATTCAATCCCGTTGAAACCTCGACTTAGTTCCCGGGGAGGTCTCGGCCTGGTGATTCACCTCGAGTTGGATGTTTTGGTTCTGAAGGGGCCCAAAGGTGCTCTTCATATCGATGTGTCATTGTTTAGGGGGACCACCAAAATGGTGGTTTGTCCTTTTGGTTTCCCTTTAAAGCCACCAAAAATGGGGTCCCCAGAAAAACCAAGAAACTTACCCACGTGTTTCCTTTGATTTTGGCAGAGTTCTCTCACACGGTTTTCCTGGATGCTTCCAGACCCCTTCCTTTGAGAAACCCATCGCACCCAGATGAGGTGGAGCCTTCCGGGTGGGATGCGGGATGCGGAGGGAGTTTGGCCAAACAGATTTGGATCCCCAAAAGTGGCTCCATGCGCTTTCATGCTCCTTCGGAGAAATCCGAAGTTGACATGTTTGAAGATCCACCCTCTTAGCCAGGCGCGGCAAGTAGGACCCACAGCATTCAATATAAGCTCGATGCTGTCTTGACTCCAGAAGTCTTTTGCGTTTCCCCGTACTGATTGTACCTCATGTTCCAGCTTGACGACTCATTTGCTAGACCTCAAGGGGAGCAGAAGCACTTAGGTAGGTGCATTCCTTTTCCGAAATTCCGTGGAGAGGTGGTCAACGAACGGGAATGGGATGGGGGGGGTTCTCCCTGGAGAAGTGAAAGCAGACAGGTATCCAATTTGAATCTAGTTTTAGTGTTCCCCAAGTTGGGTGGTCGCTCGGCCTTGCAGTGTGAAGACTCCTTGAGCAAGGAAATCGCTTGTCACTTTGGCTTAGAGTACATTGACACCTTGTTGCCCTTCATAAGCAGCTTGGATCATGGTGTGTATGATCAGGGGACCCACATCACTCCCGAAAAAGAATAGCTTTCGGTCTGCATGAGATTTCCGTTCTCATTGAGCTTTGCTTAGGATACCAGCGTTGTGACTAAATTTAACAGATGTGCGCCGCAGCCAAACTCCCGCAACATGTTTTCCGTGCCAATGAGTTGCTGCACGAACTCCAAAATGGGCCGAACGAGTGACTCAGGTCTCGTCGGACTTGGGGGTCCCGTTTTTGGGGGGTGATTCCTGGCGTTCCCCCCCCGGTCACAGGCGTGGGAGTTGCGGACCAACAACCATTTGACGTTGGAGGATGAGATCGACGCTTGGCGAAGCCAAAGGGTACGTCTTCGCTCGATGGATTTTGGGAATGCCCTTCCACACATTTTCGGCTGAAGACGCACGCAAGAGATGCCCAAGGAGTGCAGAATGATAATTTATACCCTGCCTTGCAAAATCCCTACAAGAGGCTTAAGACCCGCTGAACGTCCACCAAAGAGTCCCCCGGTCAAAATGATTTCTCATTTCTGTCCTAAACCCTAGCCCTGGTCTTCAAAGGACCCGCAAAACCAGGGTCCTTCTTGATTTTGATCTTGGCTCATAGAAATTCGGCCAAAGGCCTGCTTTTCCAGCTCCTGGAAGATCAAGGTAACAGTAGCATCAAAATCATAGTTCCTTTTGGTTGTAAACGTCGCACAGGCCAAAATTGAACTCGTGAGCTTCCTGGCGGGAAGCATATTTTCCTCAGCTGTGGGATGGGAGGTTCCGGGAGGTCGAGGCTGACACTCTTTCGGCTTCTTGTCAAAGCCTAGGAAGGTTGAGGGGGCCGCATCAACCATTGCGAACATCCGCTTTTGTAATTCTTATGGTTTAGCACGACTCAAGTCTTGAAATGCAACGCCCTGAGAACGCGCAAAACTCATGCGAGTGTTTTCTTGGATCGCAGCCCGGTTCGAAGGTAAGTGGATGCTTGGCAATGACAGGGGAACTGCCTCAAAAGTGGCCCAAATTTTGCACCAAAGGGTCTCTAATGGAATATCTTAGCCGTATCAAACAATTTGTAGACGCATAAGCCCCTCTGAAACCGTGAAATGGTTGGCCCGGTACGCCCCATAACTTGTTGCACGAGCGTGGGGTTGTTCAGCTGGTGCTTGAGACTGTTTGCTCACATCGTGAGTAGAAGCGGCACGTTGATAGTTCGATTGTCAGGACAGAACCCCAAAACACACCATTTTGAAGAAACCATGCTGAAGCAACCTTGTTTGGGGGGCCTTGAACAAACTGTAATCCAGGGTTTGCAGATAGGTCTTGCCGCATATTGGCGGCTGCTAATTCAGAGGTGTGACAAACAACTTAGGAACCTATTCCCAAACGAGTTCACATGAAGCCTCAAAAAGAGGTCGGGTCCCCAAAAGGATACTCCTCTAAACATGGTGGGTTTTGGGGCTCCACGTGATTCGCGGAGTTCTATTCCAGAACCTAAATTAGACATGAACCCTCATTATGTCCACCATTTCAGGTATTCCCCCAAAAAAAGCATGAAAGAAAGAAAGGTCACACCCATATTTAGAGAATCCAACTTAAGGACAGTTTGTGCTGTGCAATCTTGGGGTCGCCAGGCTTTCAAATTGCTTGCTCGCAGGTCTTCATGCGCTTCCACTTCCACTTCTTCCAGGAGAGCCGCGTGGTGTGTTTTGTTGGACAAGGCTCAAGGCGCAAAGCGTGGCGCAAAGGGTCTGGAGCTTTTGCGGGGTCAGCAAATGCAATTTGAACATTGAATGCAAAGAGTTGATGATTGTCAATCTCTTATTCACGTGCCTTTCCAGTTGAGTTTTGACCATTGAAGTCCGAATGGTCTGTGAAAAGTGTGTAAAGCAAGACAGGCCCAAGGACTCAACTGGATTTGGTTGAGGTAGGGGCTGATTTTGGTTGACATATTCAATCAGGGACGTTCCTGGCCTGTTTAAAATGCAGGTCTCTCACATGGCATGCCGTGCACCTTGTTTGTTCCTGGACCCACCGGAAAGTCATGGGATGACCAAGGGTTGGAAAACCACTAAACAGATTGTATTTTCCACTCATTGGGAAAAGTTGATCATGGTCATTTAGGGGGTCAGGAATATTGACCATCTCGTATATATATATACATATATATATATATATATATGAGCGACTAACTTTATTTACCTTAATTTAATTAATGGAAACATGCAAGGGGCTCGACTATTTTTTGGAAATGTGCATATTTAGCCGCAGAACGAGTTGGGCCTGCCAGAAAACGAGATAGGGCAAACAAGCATGATCACATGGATTAGGATGACATTTTGGCAAGTGCAGCCTGGCAGAGCGTCTTGGGTTCAAGGTTGTTAGATGTAGTGTAGAGTAGACGACCTACGTCGCATGGTCCGTGGCAACTTACCACAGACTTTCCGGGGCAAGTACTGGCCAACCCTACGATGCCTGACTGCAAAAGGGTGTGAAGCAAACTTGCGAAGAAGCAGCGTAGCTGGTTTGTTCAAGATTTGCCCCTGGGCAATTTTCAACCGTCCAAAAGCGGGCCATGTTAAAACGAGTTCCCAAACGAGTTCAAAGCGAGTTCAGAACGAGTCCCCTGCGTCCAAGTGAGTATTGGCCCAGTTCCTCCTCTCAAGTATTACTTTTCAACAAATTGTGTAGCAGCAGTTTGCTTAGCGAAAGGTTGTGCGGCAACAACGAAGGAGACAAAGGAGGGGCAAGCTAACCAAAGCTCGTTTGCTTCTTTAAGCTCCTCTTCTTCAAGCTCTACAGAGTTGAGCCAGATAAAACGAGCGCGGTGTTGGAAAACGAGATAGGGGGCTGCGACCGAGCGCGGGGTTGGAAAACGAGTCAGGAACACCCGTCCATTATGTAACAAATGAAAGCCGTTGCTCATATACATATATATATATATGCATCATTTTAAGCACACTGAGGCCTTTATCTGGTTTTGTGACCATCTTGGTAGAATTCCAACGGCCACTGGATGTTGGGTGCCCATGCTGAAGCCCTCCTCGACCAGCAAAAGCATTTGGTCACAGTGCAGTAGGCGCTGAGCCTTTCTAATTCTTTACATGTGGAATAGACCAATTTAATACCAGGTTGTTTTTCTACCAGCAATGATTTCGTTCAGCAAGCTTATAGTTCCCACTTGAGTGTATTTGTGAACCCCTTTTGGCTCTTCGCTTTTCAGTTGCCTCCTCTTGCTTTGTGGGGAACATGTCTTGGGCGACAAAGCATCGGTTCATACCATAGTTCATGCTCATGGGTTTGTGACAGAGGCGTCACAGGGGAGGCAATCCCACTTCTTTTCACATCAGCAACCGCCAACTATGTCCCGACATCTGCTTTGGTCAACCTTCCCGCATTTCCGTACGGCCCTGTTGCTTGCCGAATTGCCTCTTGACCCGTTCGGGTGTTTGGCCGTCGGCGGAAGTGCGTGAATTCTGCCATGTCCAAGAGTCAGACTGCGGGAGAGGCACCGGTCTATTGAGCTCCGGCACGTGGAATTACCAGGAAGCCACCGTTTTTCCTCTAATTCCGCACGAAATTGAAAACGTTTCGATGGAGTTCTGCCAAAAGAGATTGGTTTTTGGGCAAATCGACGCCCTTTGGCCTGAAAAATGAACATAGAACTGAGAGAGAGAGAGAGAGAGAGAGAGACTTTCTCTCTTTTGAAGGACCTCGTTTTTTGGTTAATATCCCCCCCCTTTCTGGGGCACGCTATCAGGATAAGTCTGCCACCGACGCCCTAGCCAGCGACGTGGTACGGCCGGCGCCTGTGATTGGATCGCCGGTTGAACCATTCCAGCTGGGATTGGTGCATTTTGCTTGGATGTTAGGACTTTGCAATTTTGCCAACTAATGGGTTTGCATTAACCACTAAAAGTTACACTTGTAGCAGGGGAGCAGAAAGCAACCGAGGGTAGATGGGGAATCTACCGCCTTTTGTTTTGTTTACGCAACTACTGCCAAATAGACGGTAGTCGCGAAAATAGCACACAACCACCATTTTGGATGGTCCCCTAAAGCAAAACGCCAACCAGCACCCTCTGACTACGCAAAAGGGGTACTTCACAAAAGACACATCACTTGGACCAAAGGTGAGTTTCCTATGTTCCCAGCGGTCGAGCTTTTGACCCTTTGGCCAGTAAAGATCCAGGTTCCGTTGACTTGGGAGTTGACATCAGAAATACCGACCGTCGACCAATGCTTCCACTTTCGAAGCCACAGAAACCCGATGGAGTTGCCACTCGAAGTTCGCCAATCTGAACCACTTGAGCATAGTTGACGTGTTGGGCCCCGGTTTTTTCCCAAGCCTATCCTTTTGGGGAGAGGGGGTTCTCCACAAGTGATGACTTTTGACTGAGCCCAGGACACCCCACTTTTGCTGGGGTTCATTCATCCGAGGCTAGACAGAGTCCGTTGGCTTCCTTTTTCCGGAAATTTGCGCCAAACTGAGCGAAGAAAAGCCAAGAGTCCTTGTGGTGAGGGCTCAAAGCGCGAAACAAAGCGGGGAGTCCGAGTCTGGACATTGTTGCCCAATCTGATTTTGCAAGGTCCGCACGATGACCTTTGCTCTGTGGCTAATATGGTTGGATCTTTGGACTTCAACTAGTTGGTTAGACCTCAAGTCCAGTGACTGGAACAAGCTGTGAAGAGTCTTGTCCCTGATTCTTTGCTTCATGGGAATCACAGGTTCCAGTTCCCGTGATCTTTTGTCTTGCTGGTTCGATAGGCGAATGAGAAATGGAACGACCTCTGTGAACCATCTCCGTGAGGTTTCCAATAAGGAAGTTCCCTTCCGGTTCATTCCCAACACCTGGAGGGCATTCCCTACCCACTGTGGATGCGCGAAATCCTGCGCCAAGCAAGCCTGGAATGATTCGATTCCCCAACAACACTACCAACAAGCCTTATGGTGTCAACCATGGTTTCATTTCGTGGTGCGAACAGACTCGAAAAAACAAAACACAAAAAGAAAGAAGACAAACGCATCGCAACCATCCACAGCATCGCACCAGCCGGTCGTTTCGAAGTTGCTCAAGGCTCAAAACCCTGGCCCGAGGGGGCGGAAGGAGCCGTCGGCGCTGGGCGCCCGGAGATTCGCGTCGGGGAGAGTCCCAAGGGTTTCTTTTTCGGTTTCCGCCCGAACCCCCCCATAATGGGGTCGGTTTTTCCTGCTGGTTTCCCGTGAAACCAATGCAAACAAAAGGGATCCTCGCAAAAAGAGGGTTGGGGGGCGGGGAACTCGGTTGAGCTCATGAATGATGTTTCGTCACTTTTTGGATGCACCATGTTAGTGGCCTTCCCAAAAAGTTCAGAGGTGGCTTTTTGGGCCAGTCTCTTGGATTGTCGCAAACGACACCCACATTTCAAGAAGCCGGCGGAAAACATCGCCCCGAGGTTTGGGTTGGACTCTTCCCCTGCCACTCCAGGACCCCCAATCAGACCCCAAGCCCGTCGTTCGCCGGCGCGGCGCGAAAAAAAAAAGTCGCCTGGCGGAAGGCGCCAAAGCGAATGACTGGCACTGGGGGATGGGTCAAAATGAAGGCCACGCAGGTTCTAGTCCTGGGTTCCCCATTTAAATAACCGGAACCAGGTCTGGTTTGCCCAAAAGCCGAGGGGACGAAAAAATGGCCAAGTGAGCGCGCTTTGGAGGGGAGACCCCTGTCAAATCACCAAAATTTGGATGGGACTTTCCATTGAACCCAATTTGGGTCCTCTGTCTCCGGGTTATTTCCCGGTTTTTCCGTTCTCCGTTGTTTTTCCAGGAGGCCCTCAAAAATATGATAGTCTCCGGATTCTACGTTAAGTTTCCATGATTCGGAAGATTCAGGAAGGTCCAACGACCCTTTGCCCCTGTCGCCCTCTTTCGGATTTGGATTAGGTGGTTCTACTTGGAACAATGACTACACTAAACTACGCAGTACGGCCTAGATGGTTATGAGTTTTTTCAGCCACAAATTGTGATGTCCACCAGTTTGGGTCCCCAAAAAATATTCACACACGCCCACCTTTTTGGGCCTAAAATGATTTTCGAATCCAAGGGAAACTATGGTTTCTCAAAACGGATGTCGGAGTGGTTGGCATTGAAAACCAAAAGGGAACCGGAAGGCCACTTTTGGAAATGAAAATGGGTGTATCAACGCGAAAACTGCCATTCGTTGGGTACCCCTATTTTGACACAGACCAATGGGTATCAATGCAATTCACTCAATCCTGGCCTGAGATCAACAACCACAAAGGCAACTCCGGTCGTACTGTCATACTGTCACTGTTTACCCAAACATGGAACCCGCAGGTTGGGCAATACCCCGTTGAAGCCTCCATTTGGTTAGGGTCTCATTAAGCATGTGCAACCCTGGCCCAGTGAGTGGGGAAAATCGATCCACGAGTTGAGGCGATTGGGGGTCTGTCCGCTGCCTGAATTCGTTTAGCAGCGTTCCAGGAGTGAGCGCGGGTTGAAGGCGTCAAGGGACCTCACAAATGTTATCGCATGCCGTAGTTTACTGAAGGGGCGCAACGAAGGTGCCTTTCCAATTTTGGTTGTCTGATTGTGGCAACTCCTTCTCGAATTCTACAAACAAAATCTGGGTGGCCCTGATACCTATACGTCTTCTTTTTTTTTCCGGGTGATATCCACCTTTTGTTTGATTTTCTGGGTGGCCTATGGGAGCACAGCGTGCGAGTGCCCCGACTCGAGCTCGAGGTGGCCCGGTGTCTCAGCTGGCCTCCTCCAGCGCCAGCACGGAGCAGCTCTTGGCGTCCATGGGCCCGGCCACGGCGCCCAGGGCGGCGCCAAGTCGTCTTCTCGTCTCTTCGTCGGGCGGATGTTGTCGGTTTTAGCGGTCGGGTTTGTGGGTCGATTTGATTTGGTGGGTTCGGCGTGTGTGTGTGTGTGTGTGTGTTTTTTTTTGGGGGTGTTTCTTGGGGGGGCTTGTTTGGTTTATTGGCTTTTCGGGTTTGTGGGTTTGTTGGGTTGTTGGCAAGGTTGTTTGGTTTGCTGGCTTTCTGGGTTTGTTGGGTTGTTGGCATGTTGTCGGGTTTGTTGGCTTTGTGGGCTTGCTGGCTTTTCGGGGTTTTCCATGTCAAGAACTTTTGGGACACGGGGTTACAAGCCCCAAGCTCCCTTTCCAGTTCGGGACACCAGCTGAATACTGACTGATCATGTCAACTGTGGACCCGAACAAGTTATTGCCCACCAATGCCAGTGTTTGTACCCTTTTGCCGTTGTTCTTTTCCGGGGCTCTCTACTTGACCAGACACACATTGGCAACATGTGCGCGTGTGAGTGACGTTTCTTGTCTTGGCTGCATGCGTGGGGGTTTGTTTGCTTGCGCTCTAGCAGGGCGGGGAGGAGAAAGAAGAGCCCCTTTACCGCGGATTCGCAGCATCTCCACGGTGCCCGATTGGTTGTCCACGCAGCTCCTAGAGGCGTTTGACGTTAACAGGGTGGTCATCGCCAACCTCGATCCATCCAAAGGTGCAGGACAGATTGGGGGGAAGCACGGTCAGAACAAGGACATTGTGTCAATGACTTTGCCTACGGTTTGCCGGCTCAGATCCGCTGACGCTCATTCCAACTATTGGTGCGAAAACAACGGGCATGGTGTCGGGGAGAAGGTGTATGTTGGATGCCTGCCTGAGTCTGTTCATGTTGTCACGTGGGGGCTGTCAAAATCGGAGGCCCTTTCTGGTATTTTCTTCAAAAAGCGGCACAACCAAAAAGCGGCACAAGTCGGCAACTGGGTCCAAAAAGGGGCCATATTGTTCAGGGGTCCCTATATTTCCCACTGTGGCGATTTTAAACATCACCTTCTTGGCCCATGAAAGGTGAGTGTCCCTTGGTGGGGGTGATGTTTCAAGGGGAAATATAGGGAGCCCTGTTGTTGACCCCCTTCACATGCATCTCTCTATCTGCACCCTTGGTCCAGAACCTGGTCGCTTGGGCATCACCCTCCCCACACAGAGCCTTTGGAACCACCCCCGTAAAAGCAACCTTCACAGTTCTTAACACGCTTTTCGACGTAAGCCTTACAAAGCCTGCAAGCACTAAGAAGGGGTGACTTACTCTAGGTGACCCGCTGAATTCGTTCTAGCCCCTGGGTTCCTTTAACATGCCAAACACACAGACGCACAGCTTGGTTGTCCTTGCTCGCAAGCGATCGGAGCCCGCTTGGTTTACAAGACTTTGCAAGGCTGCCTTTCCAGACAAAAGGCATCAGCGCCCGCAGGGTGATGTTTAAACAACGGGATAAAAAGACGGGTCTGCCGACTGGCTGGAGGCCAGCAAAAACCTGAGCTCGCTCTTGGAGGAGCAGGCGCGCTTGCCAGGCCCAAATTTGCTCAGCGGATTCCACTTTAAAATAATAAGAATAGACAATAAACATCGTAAAAACAACACACACACACACACACCCGCCCACCCACGCACGCACGCACGCACGCACCCACCCACCCACCCACCCACGCACCCACGCACCAACGCACCCACGCACCCACGCACCCACGCACCCACGCACCCACGCACCCACGCACCCACGCACCCACGCACCCACGCACCCACGCCCACGCACCCACGCACCCACGCACCCTCGCACCCACGCACCCACGCACCCACGCACCCACGCACCCACGCACCCACGCACCCACGCACCCACGCACCCACGCACTCACGCACCCACGCACGCACGCACGCACCCACGCACCCACGCACCCACGCACCCACACACACACACACACTTTTGGAGGGAAGGGTTTCCCATTAAGCTCAATCAACCAAGAAGAGGCGCCCTGTTTTCCCAACGTCCACTCAGCAGAGCGCACGACCGAAATCGACCCGAAAGTCCTTCCCTTTTTGGGTGGTTCGATGACCATTTTCGGGGTGTGTTTGTCTGGCGAAATCCCCCATATCAGACAGACTGTTGGGCCACTTGGCAGGGTGAACCGTGGCTCCTTTTTTCAAGGCATGAAGCATGAACTCCTGGGTTCAACCTTGTTTTCGACAAAGAGTTTCAGATTTGGCTGGCTTCCCATACTGTGGACGAAATCAATGTAGCACCACCTAATAGTTGAAACTCTGGGATGATTCCAGTCCCCAACGCAAACACCAACAAACAAATTGGTTTCCTAGGAGAAAAACACTGGGGCGATTCATTCCCCCCTGTAAATACCAGCAACACAGTTTTTGGTTTCAAGCATAGCTTCAGCTCGTGGTGGGAAATCCATGGAGGTCGCGCCCATCCGACGTCAGGGGCTGGATCTGGAGTTCCCGGAGCTGGGCCGAAAGGCGGCCACGCGGAAGAAGGCCAGGGGAGCGAGTTGGGGCGGTGGGTGCGGTGGGGTTTTTAGGGGGTGGGGGGGGGGGGGGTTTTCTTGGTTTCGGGTTTGGGGGGGGGGGGGGGTTTGGGGGTTTGGGGGGTGGGGGTGGGAGGGCGAGTGTTTTGGAGAGGAGAGGGAAAGTCCGGGCCAAGACTTCTTCTAGAATTCTGACCCCATTCTGAGAGAATCTAAGCACCGGGCCGGGGATCGAACATCAGCAAACCGCAATGTGCTGAATGTGACGCGTGCCAGCCCCGAAGTGTATGGGCGAAGTGCAGCGGCCTCACAAAAGGTTTTGGCTCGCGACCGATTGAGCAGGATGAAGGAAACTGTCTACCGTGGATAGACAACATCCTGCACCAGTTGGGACGGGACGGATGAACACCTATGAATACTGGGCACACCACCTACCAAGTGGTGCCGGAATTGATCCATCCAAGGAATAATACAGCCTTCCGCGTTTCAATATTTGTTTCAGACTACTCCGTACGACCATGCCAATCCGAGACATCCGAATTAGCCCACCACAAGCTTTCGAACCCGCTGATGGTTGTCCTTTTGATCCACTTGGGCGAGATCCTTCAGTCCTTCGCTCGAATTTTTGGCGGGTTCTTTCTTGGAAGGGGAACTCCCAAGACTTTACCAAGGAAAGCATCCCCTTTGCCCCAAACACCTTACCTCGTTTTCTTCTGCACCACTTCTCCTAACCCCTTCGGCTCTTGGGATCGCGGAACGCGGCGGGTCCCAGCGAAGTCTCAAGCCACCGATTGACAGAGGTGCAGCGCCAGAAGGAAGAGGCGGCGCGGAGCTCAAGAGTTGCGAAGCTCCATCCTCGTTTTCCGTTGGCTTCGGGTAAAATTGCTAGGCCCCCCAAGATCGTGCCCTTTTATCGTTTCTTTTTTTGGGGGGATGGTTCATACAGAAAAAAGGGCCAGCTTACATTTGCTTACACACCGCAGACGAACAGCCGGAAGCTCCCAGAAGGTCTAAGACTAAATGGAACGGAACCAAGTCTTCCAAAGGGGTCCTGGGAGCTTCCATGTTCGTCTGGGGGAGGGTAAGAAGACCTTGTTCTACTTGGGTTTTAAAGGGAACCCATCACCGGAAAATCTGGGGGCTATGGTGTTTTCCAGGCCTTGCCAAGGGAGGACTTCCCCGTAGACCCAAACCCCAAACCAAAGCCCCTTCCTTTCGCAGGGCTTAGAAGATTCATTTTGCCATGTGAAACATGGCTGGCCTTTTCAACGCCAAAGTAAAGAAATGGAAACCATTTGCAAGGCAGGCAATGTTCGATCGGTGTTTCTCATGCCGGATCCCTTCGTTTCATCAAGCCGGAGCAGCTTGATATCAATCTGCCGAGTTCAGCGATCCGAAACGAGCTAAAGCCATAGTCCCAAGCGGTCCTGTGCCTGAGGTCCCAAAGTTGGATTGACTTCTTTGTTGCCTGTGTTGGCTTGCTAGCTTTGCCAAGGGTTGTTCAAAGAGAAAGCAACTCTCGTGAAAAATCTGCAGGTCCCTGGAAGATGCCCAGAGTCGCCGGCCGGAACTGCATGCGTCGCAGGCCTTTGACACTATATCAGCTTTGTGGGGAATCCCGAGGTGTGTTAAGTCACACTGTGAACGAACTCCACTTCGCAGCACTTTGAAGCCATGGGGAAGCATCATTCCAGGCTGTCTTGGGTGGTGCGAAGTGGATTTCCTCCATCCACAGTAGGAATCGGATTTCTCGCGACGTGTCCAGAAAAACTGGAGACCCAAAAGAATGGGTTTGTCTTTGGTTCTCCGTGAAAAGAAGCCCAACCAGGCGGGCCCAAACGCTGCCAGCTCAGGTGGACGACTCGGACCGTCGATCCCTGAGGCAAGGCGATGGGATTGTGTAGGTCTTTTGGGGGTTGAGTGAGGATTGCTTTCCCTTGTTGGGTTTAAAGGGAGGCTATCACTGCTGGAGATATTTGTGTTCCAGGGGCTTAGGCAAATGCAGGTTGTGGTTTGGGTTGGTGTTGGTTTCAGTGGGGTTGAGTAAGGGCTGACTCGAGTTGAGTGAGGGGACCCCTTGTTTTGGTTTGGCAAACAGTTTACTCAGGATCAGGTGTCCCCTTCATGGTTCTCACACGACTCTTGTCACTCATTCCTTTCCATTCGGAAGATGTTTCCCAAAAGTCGAAGCGACCTCCTGTTCCCGAAAGGCGTGAAGCCAAGAGTGAGCTTAGCCTTCCGAATCCCACAGACTTGGAGGCTGAACTTAAGGAAGTGACCAGATGCCAATTCCGATTTTCGCCATCAGTTTTTGAGGCTTCCCTGGGTTGGGGGAAATCGAGTTGGGCGAGAGACGCAGAGGTTGCAAGCATACGCCGCGTGCCGAAAGGTGAGAGGGTGAGGGACTGCAACTTCATTCGGGAATGCGGTCTGAATGCGTCACATGCGTTCATTGTCATGTCTGATTGACACCAAAACGCATTGGGTTCATCCCAAGTAGCTCAGCAACTCCCAGTATTTGTTGCACGGTCCTGCCTACTCATTTGCTTGTAAACCCAGCTGACCATTTAGGAGCAAAGAAACAACATTCCATTCCAGACTACGAGTGATTTGTGGACGCTTGTCCCCAATGTGCGGTAGCGCGACGCATCTGATGGCACCAAGCGAACCCGTTAGCCCGTTTTCAGGCCTCTTGTTTTGTGCTCCAATTGATTCTTCATGGATCTGCCAAAGTCCCAACCTGCCCTGTTCGCGCCAAACAAGTAATCGGCGAGGAACAGCTTGATGACTCAACCAGCCATCCGGGTCCTGAGTTTTTCAGGATTTTTTAGTTGGTTTATTAGCCCACCAACAGTTGTCGACTTTTAGCAGCGGATCTGAGGGCAGCCCAGTGATTCTTGTATTCGAGGGCACCGGTGGAATCGGCGTCCAACACCGGCTTTGCGCTCACCGTGCTAAACTCTGTTATGCTACCAAACAGCCCACAAGGTGTAGACAAACCAAGGACCAATGCGGTGTGTCGTTTTTTTTTTAGTATGCATGAGTATAACTTGTTTGAAGGGAAACTACCAGGAGAACCGAAGCCAGTTTGGAGGGTCCAACCTCAAGACACACCCCATTCCTTTCTTTCCACGCTGGGTTTTGGTTCGGATTGGTTCTGGCCCAAAAATATGCTACACGTGTCTCAGCCACGAAAGCGGAGGGGTCCCATAGTTTCCATCTGTTTGGACAAGTGAGCTATCACCAAAAGGGTCGGAAGGGATCTGTGGGGTGGAAAATTGGGTCCGACCCCCCCAAAAACGAAGGCGGGCCGCGCAGAAGGGTTTTGGCGGTAGCTCAAGTGGCCATCGTTTCAAGGCTTCCAGTTCCTGGGGTCGATTCAGGGGTTCCGTTCATGCGGACTCAAGGTGTTCTTTGTCAGGGCCCCCGGATTTTCGCCGGTGAACGATGCGACGTACTTGTGGTTTCCACTGAATCTCCCACTTTTGGTGGTCCAAGATGGACATTGAGGGACCCCTGTCTCCATAGGTGTCCTTTTTGGTTGTTTTGGTCGCAGAATAGATGGCGAATGGTTTACCTGGTGGTTTCATCTGCCAGGGCCATCGATTTCTTTTTGTTTTACCCTAAAAGGACACCTGGTGGACCTATGCCTGTGCTCTGGTTCCTTCCCCTGGTCCTGACTCGGAGGCGCCTGAGCAGCAGGTCATTGCGGGAGCCTCGGTGTGCGGCAAAAATTTTTGTGACTCGTGCGTACACCGAGCACTGAGAACCGAATCCCATCGTTCAGGGTCACCTTGAAGATTTGTTGGCAAGGGCACCAGGCTCAGAAACGAGGTTTGGATTGGTTTGGATTTGGATTTGCAGCCCTGATCACGAATCCGAACCACAAATTAGAGAAAAGCTGAAGGCTGCTGGTTTCATTTTAACATCCGAATTGGGGTGGATGTTTTGTAAGGGCGAGGGTCCATTGCAGACATCCCCATGCAGTAAATGAATGAGTTCCCTCGCCTTTCGCAGATGCCTGAGAAATAATTCAAGTCTGGCAGCGTGTTGAGAACTTCCTGAGGGTACCCGCTTCAAGTTGCTTCAAAGGGAAACCAAGGGGAACTACAAACCCACAAGGGCGGGGATGTTTGAACTCCAGCCTTGAATGCAAAATTGGCTTGCGCGCTGTCATGAGCTGCTCCTACCCCCCAAAAGATCCCCAGTGTGTGTGTATGTGTGTGTGTGTGTTTTTTTTGTTTTTTTTTCTCGCAATTTGTATCTTACCCAAACGTGTGGTGCGTTTCTAAGAGATCCCCCAAAAAAGGGAGGGGTGATTCGGAAGCAAGCCATGCGGACAAGATTCAAAATGCTGGCAAGGACCAATGTCAGGTCCGAAGTTGGTGGTAATGCTTCCTGTTGATTCAGCCAGGGTCATTAGACGCAGCAGGCGAAAGCTTACCATGTGCCTGTCCATGTTGTTTTTTTTGCTCGGGCACATGAAAGTCTTGCCTTCACGTTGGGTTTTGAAATGGGAATTTATGGTCCGGAGTGTTGGAGTTCCAGTTTTGGGGGATTTCTCTTGACGTTATTTTCCAGTTTCAGGTTCACTAAGCATGGCAGCATTTGAAGTAGTTTGCAGCCCATGGTTTGCTTGGGACATCCCTGCATGGACCCCGGATGCATGAACTCATCACAGGGCAGATTTTCCTCCAGACAAGGGAAACTGGTTTAAAATGGTGCGGGTATGTGTGGCATGGTGGATTTGGTGAGACTTTGTCGTAGCCTGGATTTC